TTAGTTCAGATTTTTTTTACTTGTAAATCCTTTTAAATATCTAAGAAAGAAATAACACCAATCTTAAACACAGTCTTCCAGGGAATAGATACAGAGATACCAAAACCCCATAAGACTATAAGAGAAGAAAATGATAGGTCAATCTTTCCCATGAATTTAGATGCAAATATCTGGGGAAAATATTAACGCCGGGCTTGGTGGCTCAGCCTGTAATCCCACGCCTTTGGGAGGATGAGGTGAGTGGATTGCCTGAGCACGTGGGTTCGCGACCTGCCTGGGCAGAGAGACCTCATCTCTACAATAAATAAAAAAATCAGCTGGGCGTGGTAGCGCATGCCTGTAATTCCGGCTACTTGGAAGGTTGAGGCGGAAGGATCGTCGGAGCCCAGCAGGTCGAGGCTGCGGTGGCCGGGAGTGGCCACTGCACTCCAGTCTGGGCAACAGAGTGAGACTCCGACTCAAAAAAAAAAAAGAAAGAAAGAAAATACTGCATACTATAAAAGAGGGAAAACTTTTAAAACTTTCATATGAGGCCAAGTAAAGACAGTAAAATTAAAGATAACTGGATACCCTTAAATCATGTCTTTTAGGAGCATAAGAACCAATATACTTGTATTCCCTTCAGTTCAAAACCTTGGTTTCTTTTTAATATGTCATGCTCTCTCACAGAGTGGGAGTTAGAAAAGTCCAAAAGGAAATTTCATCCAAAACTTGTTATTGGAGCTTCCAAATCTAAATAAAATTGCCACTAAATTTAGGAACACGGTGGGTAGAAATGACACAGACAGGTCACTCTCATCTCAAGGTCATAGAAATACCATAAAAAATATTTGAGAGAGAGACAGACAGGAGAAGAAAAACAGAGAAGATTAGCTCAAGAGAAAGTTAAGAGAAAGAAAAGCATATCCCCAGATGCTAGATATGAAGAAAAAACAAAATCAAAGTGAGCAGTGGCAACTGACACAGATTCAGAGATTCAGATATAGCTTCAGGGGCTGGTGCCTGAAGTCTTAATGCCCATCGAGGAATAGCAGACCTGTTGTCCAACTTTTAAGGCAAGAGTACATGTGGGTGAGTGATAAAGACTAGACTGTAGTTCCCTTTTCGAAATTTGTCCCCTTAATAATCTGCCCAACCAGTGAAAAAAGAGAGTTGGAAAAACTCTGACCATAGGCTTAGGGAAGCATCAAAAACTTTGTCTATTAAGACCCTCAGATGGGAGTGGTAGTGAGTAGATAAAAGGTCCACAAGAAACAGAAAGCAGGAATCAGGTCTATGATACAATTGGAGGGTGGAGAATTTACATTATTTAGATGGCATGGAAACTCTGTGCCGATAAATTGAAATCTCTAGGGTCCTGGCAGTAAGAGAAATTTTTTTAAAAGGCACAATGTAGGGATACTTTCACAACACAGCATATGAGAATTCCACAGGGTAAGGAAAAGAGACCTACTGAAGATATAACTATCTTCAAAGAATTACAAACCATACAAGAAGATACATTTTCAGGAAGTAGGGTAGCATATACAGCAAGGAGGATATCTACTCCTCCTCCAGAAAAAACAAAACAATTCAAAAGAAACTCTAAAATAAGTATGCTGAAAATGATTAAAATAAAAAGTAGACATCATAATAAGAGATAAAGACATTCAAAAACACTTTTACATTTGAAAAAGAACCAAAATGAACATTTAGAAATTAAAAATTATAGTTACTTGAAATGAAAAACTGAGTGGATATGTTAAAAAGCAGATTAGACAAAGTTGAAGAGATTCTTAGTTAACTGGAAGGCAAATATGTCCATAATGCAGCAAAGAAAAATAAAGTATAGAAAGCATGGAGTATGATTAAAAGATATGGAAGACAAAAATCTAAAAGATTTTCAAAAGGAAGGGACAGAGGAAATGAGGGAGGACAAATAGATAATAGCTTAAAATTTAAAAAAAAGAAGACATGAGAAGCACAACTTCTGAATAGGAGGAGTAAAAACTAATCCACACACTAGATATAATTTAGCGAAACTGCAGAAAATCAAAGATAAAAAACCAAATCTTTTAAAAGCAACAAGAGATAAGAAATTACCTTAAAAAGGAATAATAATTAGTTTGACAGAGGCTTTCCAATCAGCATTAATGAGTCAGGGTCTATAGAAAATAGCTTCAAAGAATAGAAGGAAAATAGGCTGGGGGTGGTTCATGGAAAATAACTGTCAATCTAGCCAATTAGATTCTTTCCTTATTTGTTTCTTAACTCAAAGGAGAGAGGTGTGTCAGCAGATGAGAGACTTGCCCAGAACTATCTGGTATTAGCAAAGATTGACAATATCTGGGAAGGTATTTATTCTATGAAAATTGTACCTGGAACAAGACAAGGATGCCCATTCTCACCCCTCCTGTTCAACATAGTTTTGGAAGTCCTAGCTAGAGCAACCAGAGAAGCGAAGGTGATCAGGGGTATCTAAATAGGAAAAGAGGAAATCAAATTACCCTCTGCAGACGACATGATTCTATACCTCAAAAACCCAAGGGAATCTGTCAAAAACCTCCTTGTACTGATTAAGGACTTTGGCAAAGTCTCAGGGTATAAAATAAATGTGCAAAAGATAATCTCATTGCTAAACACCTATAATAAGCAAACAGAAACCCAAATAAAAAGCACAATTCCATTCACAATAGCCACACACACACACACAAAAAGAAATACCTTGGCATCCTCCTAACCAGAGACGTGAAAGACCTTTACAATGAAAACTACAAAACACTGCTCAAAAAGCACAATTCCATTCACAATAGCCACAGGGGGGAAAAAAAAAATGAAATACCTTGGCATCCTCCTAACCAGAGATGTGCAAGACCTTTACAATGAAAACTACAAAACATTGCTCAAAGAAATCAAAGATGACACAAACAAGTGGAAAAATATTCCATGCTCATGGATTGGAAGAATCAACATTGTTAAGATATCCATCCTATCCAAGGTAATCTACAGATTTAATGCGATACTCATTAAATTATCAGCAACATTCTTCTCAGACCCGGAAACAACAATACAGGAATTCATACGGAAACATGAAAGACTACGAATAGCCAAAACAATCCTCAGCAAAAAAAAAAAAAAAAAAAAAGCAGGCGGTATCATGCTCCTAGACTTTAAACTTTATTATAAAGTGACAATAATTAAAACAGCATGGTATTAGCACAATACCAGAGGCAAAACTTCAATTTCTCAACTAACTCATCTTCGACAAAACCTCCACTACCAACCACTGGGGAAATAAGAACCTATTCAGTAAATGGTGCTGGGAAAACTGCTAACCACTTGCAGAAGATTGAAACAGGACACCTACCAATCCCCATACACAAAAATCAACTCGAAATGGTTCAGAGACCTACACGTAAAACCTCAAACTATAAGAACCTTAGAAAATGCAAGAGACACTCTTATGGAAATTGGAACTAGTAACCAATTCCTGATCAAAACTCCAAGTGCCCATGCCATAAGAGATAAGATGGACAAGTGAGACCTCATCAAAACTGAGAAGCTTCTGCCAAGCCAAAGAAACCATCAATAGAGCAGGGAGACAGCTCACAGACTGGGAAAAAATATTTGCCAACTTCATGTCTGACAAAGGCCTAACATCTAGGATCTACAAGGAAATCAAACATGCTGAAAAGCAAAAAACAAACAGCCCTATTACAAAGTGGGCAAAAGATATGAATAGACAGTTCTCAAAAG